AGGGAGGAAGGAAGGAAGGAAGGAAGGAAGAGGGTTTTTCTTTTTATCGCAACGTTTGTAGCCTGAGGAATGGCGCAGGCTCATTTCGCTCACCACCACCACCCCCACCCCCCTCAGCGAACAGATAGAACAGACAGTGGGTTTTTTTAAAAAAAAAAAGAAAAATGTTTATTCATCGCCTTTTTTTTTTAATACACCTGCAGGGTCGCACAAGACTGAACACCATAACGGTCACCAAATGTACACTCGACATACACAGTTAAATAACAGAAGGGCAAAACAGCGCCAGCAGTCCAAGAGGTGCAAATCCAGGGTCTTTTTTTTTTTTTTCTCCTTTTCTCCCCAGGAAAACACGGAATCTGATCCAAAACACCGACAAGGAACAGCATCAGGCCTCCCTAATGCCCATCTTGGAGCAGAACGTGGCCTTGGGCGTTCCGCTGCTGTGGGACATCACCTCCGAGAGAGATCGGGGGGTTGCTCCGGTTTGAAAAGAACAATTATAAATCCTGTACCTTCTGCACTGCAGAAATTGGAAAAAAATCCATGCAAACTGTTGTCTTGTCTTTCTTTTTGTGGTCCTTCTACAAGCAGGCCCCTGCTGTCTGTGCCATCATTGTGGTTCCTTGCTTGGGAAGGAAAATCCGTGATAGTTCAGTTTCCAGGGATGCTTCTCTGGCACCGAGGCATTGGTTAAGCTTGAGATACCGTGGATCCCTTAACACGGGGACCCAATATGCTGCTGGTGCTGTGGGACAGAGTAGGACCTTTGAGAAGGAAGACTGGAGTTCCAAAAGGCTGTTTTCCAATCGTTTTCTGGAACACTGTGTAGTTTTCAGCATTAAATAACTGCTCCAGGCGCCCCCAGTCTGCACTCCTTCCCAAAGGTGACCAGAGCACAATGGTTTCTCAACTCCACATCTGCAATATCATTAAGGGGAGAAAGAATGATGTCCATCTATAAAGACTATAGATCTTTGAAGACTTTAAAATCACTCCTGTAGGGCAGTTCTGCCTGAATATCTCATTTCCAAACCTCCTATTCTCCTGTTATTAATTTTTGACTTGTTATTAAATCACCTAGCAGCCTGATGAAAGCCAAGACAACATCTCCATCCCCTTCTCCCACACCAACAACACAGCAACACTCAACATGATAATTCCCAAGTCCTTGGCAACACGACTTCACATGAATGAGCTGTCGTTTGGCCACGCTGCTAAAAACCCACAGGCTCCCAAACCCACTGAATTTCAAGACATTCATCCCTTAAACCTGTGGGAGTACTTACGGAAAAGTCTTGCCTTCACACTCAGCGCAGCACAAAAGAAAATAAATCAAAAAAACCCCACCCCACAACCTCTCTCAGTTCTTCAGTCTCACGGGCTGGTAAAACAAAACATCCTCTTTTGCTTTTGTTTTATAGATAAATGTATCCTGTTACGCACACAGACATTCTGGGATGAGTTTTCAAGCCGAGTGGAAGGTGGTTTAGACATACACAGTACATCCTATTAGCAGTCAATGGAGTTGTAGTCATATTCTTGCCAATTAAATAACCAACCAACAAGACCTGTGAAGGAGAATTATGGAAGAAAAAGAAAATACACTGCTTTAAGAGATAAACCTTCTCTT